CCCAAATAGTTAAAGAACGTTCCCAGGAAGCCTAAAAGACGCTGGATTTTCAAAACAAAAATACTGGATGATGACAAGCCCTTACCAGGAAGCCCGAATGAGGCTGGATTTTCAAAATAAAATCCCCCAAATAGTTACATGTTGTAAGGTCTTATCCCATGGTGGTGATAAGACCTTACAACATTGTTTCTCTCTGTCTCTCTGAAATTGGTCAAGTCTCTCTGTCACAGACTGAGATCATGCATGATTATAAAATCAAGCAGCTTTTGGAAATTTTGCTCTCACCATCTCTCTCTCTCGCGCCTCTGTTGATTCACACCAATGTTTAAATTTACAGAAATTAAAATTAGTCGTAATACTCTACTATACTATTGATACAACTTGAACTTTCATTTCAATTCTTTTTAACTTTATAAAAGTCAAAAATTACAATCGTTTATCAGTGAATTTTCAATTAAGATGAAACACACAAACATGAACTGGTTCCCTCTGCCTCCCTCCTCTCTCTGGCATACTGTATATGAGTGCATTTGCTGTGCTGCATTGCACTGCGCTGCACAAGAATCCTGTGTGACAGTCCTGACTCACTGCAGTAAAGCACAGGAGTCAATCAATCCAATGCATTTGTTTAGCACCATATAACAACATACATTATGCCAAAGCACTTTGGGGGGAAGGGGGAGGGGTTGGACATGAGAGGGGGGGCATGACATCACCATGCCACTGATCCTCTAGTTTATTGTTTTTGTTGTTAATGCAGAAAAAGTCTCTACCCTCTACAATTCACACTTCCGAGGTCTACGTATAGAGGGCGCTCTGTATCGTGGCCTGAAGTGACGTCACACGAGGCGACCACCTTCGGCGAAGATCGTCATCAGTCGTGAGCTGACTCTCGGGAGAAGGATGGAGGAAGAGGCACGGAAGCTTCTCGAAGAAGGAATAAGCAAGAAGCTGGTCAGTCCTGGAAAAGGAGAACCGCCGATCTTCCCTAATGGCACCAAGGTAAATATGCACCGTCCTCGGGTTTGGTGTCGGCCTCCACTGAGGCTAAATAAATGCGACGAAGCGCGTTAGCTGTGATGCTATCTGGCTAACACATTAGCAAGCTGTCAGTTGTATTCGTTTCACCGTGAAAACATTGTGCTTGTGTACAAGTACATGTGTGAGTCGTGCTGCCTGTGTGCTGCCTGTGTGCTGGTTTAATGTTACATACAGTTCATTTGTTTTCGCTGTGTTCGATTTTTTTCCACATTTTTTCCTCTGCTGAGAAGAAAGGGGTGGGACAGGATGGCGTGTGGTTATGAATGCTGATTGGTTGGTATGCTGTGTCAATCAATCTTCCTTCGCTGTGATTCGCCAGAATGAAGCAGACCGCGTTCCAGGCCAGTCTGAGAAGTAGTGATGGCTCTTTAGTTTCTTGTAAACAAGCAAACCGCTACGTGGATTTCGGTGTTTTGAAGGGGCGATGGCACAATGCGTATTGTAATCGCACAGTTCCATTGAGCTTTGTTTAATTTTGTTTTCCTCCATCTCATTCCTGCTTCGCCAGGTGGTCTTCCACTACCGCACCAGCCTCTGTGATGGCACAGTGCTGGACGACTCCAGAACCATGGGGGGGCGCAGCAAACCCATGGAGCTCATCCTCGGCAAGAAGTTCAAACTGGCTGTGTGGGAGAGGGTGGTCATCTCCATGAGACAAGGAGAAGTTGCAGAGTTTACCTGTGAGACCAAGGTTTGTGATGCTGGATGTGACAGGGTGGTTATCTTGTTCCTCCTCAGGGGGCTGACTCTCTCGCTCTCATTCTCTCCTCCCCCTCAGCACACAACGCTGTACCCACTCGTGTCCCAGTCCCTGAGAAACATCAGCGCTGGTAAGGACCCGCTCGAGGGCCAGAGGCACTGCTGCGGCATTGCCCAGATCCACTCCCACCACTCTCTGGGGCACAAGGACCTAGACAAGCTTCAGGCCAGTCCACAGCCTCTGGTCTTTGCCATCGAGCTGCTCGAGGTGAATAGGCAGGGGAGAGTCAAGGGTTTAAAATGACTGGGCTTTCTTCATTTATTATTAGGACTGAGTGTTGCCGGGTTTTTTTTCATTATGGGTTATCATTATCAGTGGTATCGTGGTCTACCTTTAAAATCCTGTTAATTTAATACTATATATACTTTATCTTCCTTCAGTGATTGCTATGTTTTTGCTCCAGTTTTACTCTCCTACAGTGAAAGCTGCAGCTACCACTGATCTCCTGTCTCTTTGCTCAGGTTCTCCCTCCAGGGTCGTTCCAGCTGGACGTGTGGGCCATGTCAGATGCAGAAAAACTCGAGCTTGTGCCTCAGATCCACGAAGAGGGAAACCTGCTCTTTAAACAAGGTGAAATTAAGGAGGCTACTGAGAAGTACTACAATGGCATCGCCTGCCTCAAAAATCTACAGATGAAGGTTTGTTGGCAATTCATTCTTTGTTGATTAATTTTTTGATTGTTGTGTAAATCATTTGTGAGAAATAGAGATTCATAGCTTTGATCCAGTTAATTTGCCACACAGTGCTTTCAAGTGTCTAAAACTCCCCTTTGTGGCCTTTGTCTTTTCTTTCAGGAGCATCCTGGAGATGAAGCATGGGTAAAGTTGGACCACATGATCACACCTCTGCTCCTCAACTTCTGTCAGTGCAAGTTAATCCAAGGGCAGTACTATGAAGTCATTGAACACTGCACATCCTTGGTCTTCAAATATGAGGGTAAGCCTAAGTGGTTGGTGCTGCTCAAGAACCAGCCGAGATGAAAGATTTCTATTGCTACTGCAGATGACACACTCAGAAGTATTAGCGATTTCACAAAAAAATAAGTCTTTTTGGGATTGGTGTAGACAAAAACACGTGTGAGAGAACATGAAAATACTGTTTCACCTGACGCCAATCTCCACCACAATCATCATCAGAACACCAAATGTAGGAAGAATGACGTTAACCCCCCCCATTCTTTTTATGTCATTTGTTCTAAGGTTCCCTTCAAGGATGAACTGATTTAATCTTCTTTTTAGATTCCATTTGTTTCCTTTGTTGGTACTTTGGGTCTGATTGCTGTGTTAACCTTTGCAGTTCTTACATGATGGATTTGGATTAGCATTTGTAAAGGTAGTGTTTTGTTACTAATGATTCATCATAGTTAATTCCCTGGTTGGTTAATTTCTATAATAGCTATTGCAGTCATTTCTACTAAAACTTTATATTTAACTGTGTAATTGAATACGAAACCTAAAGTTGACTTACAGCATTAAAAAAATTAATAATAATTGACTGCCAAGTTTTTTTGTGAAGGCTGAATAATACTCCATGAGAAAATATTGTTTTGTATTTTTAAAGAATATTAGGAGTCAGAATTAGAGTGTGGATACCCAACCTGACACCTGGACTGGGTTTGGACAAAACATTTGAGGTGACTTTCAGGTTTGGTTACGTTGGCTCGGCTGTCCACTTAATATATTTGCACTGGGTGTTTATAGTCAGTGAAACTGTCAGAATGCCTGCCGGGTTCGAGTGGCTTTGTCGGGTTCCGACAAAAAAATTGCAACCCGAGCGACACTCAAGTCATAATACATGAGAATAAATTACTTGAGTTACCACTTGAAAACAGCTGTATTCTCTGCATATAATAACAATTAAATTGATTAATTTACTCCTTTACATTTACTCTTAACAGCTGATTGTCCTCACATATAGCAGGTATGTTCCTGAGTCTGCCAGACAAGTATATAATAATGTATTGGCTGCACAATGTGGCCTACAGATACTTGTTTTTACTTTGTCCTGGAAGCTAACATTCAATGTCACATACAGTAAGTTGTGAAAACCATGTTCTCTGTCCTTCATTAATTTACTGCCTCTTTTTCCAAAAAGATAACGTGAAGGCCTTCTACAAGCGAGCTAAGGCCCACGCTGCAGTGTGGAACGAGACAGAGGCACGAGCAGACTTTGCTAAGGTGCTGGATTTGGACCCCTCCCTGGGACCGTCTGTAGCCAAAGAGCTGAGGGCCATGGAGGATAGGATCCGCTCCAAGGAGAAGGAGGAGAAGGGTCGCTACAAAGGCCTATTCAACTACAACGCACCCCCAGCGACTGCTACTACTGTCAGTCCACTTTGAGTAGTTTTAATTTGATCTAATGGGACATTGAAATATGAGGCATAGGATATGATGTATAGTTTTAATCAAATCGTCTCTTATTTTGTCTTCCTCACAGGGTTGAATCTCATTGGGTTGAAAACAAGTAGATGCTTGTGAATTTCAAGATGGAGGAGAATCAGTGGACCCTGCTGATGTTTTTGTTTTATCCATGATGCACCCAAGCCAAACACTCTCCACCTTGCCCTCTATGGACGCACTCTCACACGGTCAGGTTGTACATTTAAACAATGCACCCACAATTCCATCAAGGTGCAATTTGCCTTCCTGCCTTATTCCTCTGATTCCCTTCTTTTGTTCAAAAATTCTGTTTTAAAATCCAATGCTGACCTTGGGTCTGTACTGGCCAGCAGTCATTCAGAGCATTGTGGTCTTGAATCTAACTCCAATTACTCACTGACCCCATTCAAGTTTTTTAGAAATGTTAAAATAATTGGTTAGCAACTCATTCACAGTAATGTTACCTTCAGGACACTTAACAACAACCTTAACAGGATTTGCTAGAGATTTTTCTTACTTTAACTTTGTGCAATGTTTCTATACCAAACATCAATCTGCCTCTGTATTAGAAATAAGTATCTTGCACATTTAATGTTAAATTACTTTCTTATAAACGTGCAAAGCTGTGGAATAATTATTTTAATTACCTGTCATCATAGGAAAACAAAGATAATAAACAAATCAATGCTCTCCAAGAAATCTTTTTTTTTTTGGACAAGGAACATGATGTACACTTGTGCACACATCTGCCTTGCACTGTCAGAGCTTGTTTTCTGTCTTTATCAATAGACCCAGACAGGAGGCCATGATCTCCTGGTAGAAGTAACTGGGAAACTGAGCTGTCTGTGACAATCACCGTGTAACACAAGTTGACAATTGATCTCTTTGCTTTCTCTTTTCTTGTTTTACATATAAGAAATGCTACCATTGTTGTTTTTGTCAATATATATTCTTTAAAAACCCTCAGCATCTCTTCCACTTGGCCGCTGTACTACAAAGCTCGTTCACTTCTTATCGGGGTAAATCGCCATGGTAACTTATGCTGAAGGGCTAACCTGCTCTGGTAATTTTTTTTTTTAACCAGGTGTCTTCATGTATTTAGCAGCTGTAACTGTTTCTTTTAGTCTGGATGTTTGTTATCTATCTATTTTTGTAATATAACAGTTTGATCCTCGTTTGTGAAATACGCAGCTCAGCTGCCAGTTCACTTGTCCATGTCTGTGATTGCTCATATGCAGTTAACACTGACCCTTTCATGTGCACAGGCCCAGATCTTAATGAGTTCATAATCGATGTGTGACCACTTAGCCTGGTTGTGATTGTTAGGTTAAGCTCAGCCAGATCTCTGAAAGATATCCTGGGTATGTTGAACTCGCTTCGTAGTACAGGCCACCGCTCAGAAAGAGCTACGCTTACTGTTCATGTGAAGCAGTGGGTCATTATCCTGAAGTGAGATGTTATTGAGGTTGTGATTATGTAACTGAAAATAAATTTGTTTATCCCCAACTTTGCATCTTCAAACATTTGATTTACAATATTTGTTGATCAGAATTCAATCTCTAACATGAACAATGAACCTGAAACACATGAGTTTTTTTTTCTTGTTATTTAATTAAGATATACGTAATGAACTGCAAAAATCTGGTTTACAAAATTTCCATACTAACAAACTGACTTGAGATGTACAGAGGTATTGGGACTGCGAAACTACTATGTTTACACTACATAATATGGTGAAAACAAAGGAAATCAGAAAACATTAAGTGGTTTCAGAGTGGTGCTGGGTTAGAAACTTGAGGAAACGTGCAGTTTGAACTTTGCTTATCTTAAATGGTGAACATTTTAAGAAAAGTCAGTCTTCTTGGTCAACTGCAATTATTGAACAAATACTATAAACATTCCCATCCAAGGTTTTTCCCACGACTACTTAAAAATGTGTTTTCCCATGTCTACTTAAAAATGTGTTTAAATTCCCCACACTCTTATTTCAAAGTAGATACAAAACTATGTTGCATACACAGGTCACAGAAAAACAGAACAGGTGTGGTGGGATTCAGGGATTGGTGGAGACAAAAAGGATATTTTGCACCTTTAAAAAGCCAGGAGAAAAGCATAAAACATGGAAGGATAAAGAAAAAGGTGGTAAATCAGACAATGACCAGGGAGGGCTTTTACAAGGGAAGGGATGAAGGGAGCTTTTCCAAAAGGTTATGTGCGGGCGCTTCTTTCCGTCTCTGCAAGACACTCCCTGACCAGTGCACGGGCATGGATTATCCCTGAACAAGACAAACACAAGGTAAAAAAAGAGGTGTTCAATCAATAATTCAGCATTAATATTTTAGATTAACCAAAATAACTGCAGAAAACATACCTCTCTTTAGCCTCTCCATAGCGCTCTTGCTCCCTGCGTATGTAGGCCTGATCTCACGGCTCATCTCCTCAATGACAGAGAGGAGCTCACTGTAGGTGGACCCTTGAGACACTTTGACAGGCTGATGGTGCATTTTTGGGGAGAAAATAAAAAAACAAATCCATCATCTTCTTCTCAGCCTCCCCATGTAGATTACGGCATGGAGCCTTTTGGCACTGTCAGTCTTTACTGTGCTTCATGAGTTGAGCATATTTGAAGTGATACATTGAACGACACACAGTTTGGCTGTGTCGGTTCCATACTGCTTTAAATTTACATCTAAATATCGTAAAACAAGTTCAACTCAACTTTTCATTGATATAGAATCAAACCAATAAACCTGACTGAGCGTCCGTCTTGTTGGTTGGTGTATAAAACAAACCAGCTCCATGCAAACAATTTAAAAAGACAATGGCAAATAAATTAGATGGAAAATAAAGGAAAACTCTACTCACTAATAAATAAAATAGAGTCTGAAAAAGCCTAAATATCTAGAATAATTTCTACATGTTAACCTACATAAAGAACGTAATTAAGACTGGTGGGGTTTGGTCACTTGTTTACCTTTATGTGCTAGACACAGAACAGTATGCATAAGTGGTTTGAAGGCATACCTGAACAAAGCCCATGGAGGGTGGGCCAAAGTCACTGAATGCTGGCCTAAAGCTGGATGATGAGGGGAGAGATGGAGAGGGTACGGAAGAGCCTGGACAGAACAGGAGAACAGATATTACACACTAAAGAGGGAACAAAAACAACAAGAATAAACCTGCTGTCTGAAACAATTTACTTACTCTCAGGAAGGTAAAAATCAATAATTCACTTAATGGTTTCCTGATGGTCACAAGGCCATTTCTTCTACATAGTATACACCTGTGACTTCTTTAC